ACACCAGCCATTGTATTCCAGCCGTGAAAGCCTTCGACAAAACTTGGCTTTCTTTTGTTCGCTTAGAGAGAATCAACAGTCATTGAGTTTCCTCTATGCAGAACAAACTTACACAGAATCAAGCCGAAAGACCAAGAGGTTCCCCACACATATGTCCTGTAGCTCAGCAGTTCCCTGTCTGGGAACTTCTGTTAGTTGTCAAGCGTTCAGAACACATCTGAAGCAAGATGGGTACCCATTAAGAGAACAGACCTTTATAAATAATGGGAGCTTCTCTAGCTAACCTAATAATACCAACAGCCAACATGAACATTCAGGCCAAGCTTTATCCCCAAAATCACATCAGTCCCCACAACCAGACCAAGAAAAAGACTCCAGGGGAGTCTAACACTACTTTTATTAAGGTGGACTATTGCAACAGCACCTTGAAGGTTTGATTGTGCTTTAATTCCCCCCCTCCAAAAAAAATACTTCTGTGAAACTAAGGCAGCGTCTGCCTGAGTCATTTCCTCCTCCCTTCAGACTGTTTGGGGTTTGAATGGTGCTTCTCGCCTCATCTCTTGGAGAACGGATCTGGCTTATCTCCGCCAAGGCCACCTCCTTTACTCTCTACAAATCAGGAGAGGCTCCAAGTGGCTCTCCCCAGTGGTGAAACTGAATCAGGCACATAAAAACCGGAGATGCAATCCTAACAAGTGGGTTAACCCAGGGTTCCTCAACCTCGGCGACCTGAAGATGTGTGGACTTCAATTCCCAGAATTCCCCAGGTCGCCAAGGTTGAGGAACCCTGGTTTAATTTATAAGGGCTGCGAAAATGAGTCCCACCGTGACGTGGCAATAGAGGGACCGCAGGAAACCACTGACTCTCTGCTGCCACCTAGCGAGGCTCAGGGGGTTTTGCGGCCCCCTCCCGCCCGCGCAGGTACCTAATGCCAGAGAACCCCATGGCTCTTTATTGGGGGTAAAGAGAGTTAAGACCACGCTGACGACCGGGGCAGACCCTCCCCCTCGCCTGCGCGTTTCTCCCTCACCGTCTCCCAGGAGCTCCCCGGGACTTGGTTCCGAAGGGGCCGCCGTCCCCGCCTTGGGAGCGCTCCTCAGTCCTTCCATGCTGGCACCTGAGGAACAGCGACGCCGTGACGACATAAAAGGGCGACGGCCCCGCGGGCGTCGCTCGCTCTGTGACGTTTCTCCTTGGACCATAGAGATTGCAAAATGCAGAAATATCTGCCGGCTCGCTAAGGATTCCTGGCGAGGGCAGTCCTGTCTGCGGTTCTCCCTAATTTTCCCTCAATTTCCAAAAGATAATTTCCAATATATAAAAATTTCAAGAACATAAAGCTATTAAGCTAAGATCAGTGTTAGAAAAAGACTGCCATTCCATTCCGAGCTTTCCATTTGTGGATCAGTCTATACTTTTCTGACTCCATGAAGATAATGTTTCAGTGGAGACCGGATTAATAAAATCTCCCTCAATTCCGGATGAAAGACTCAGATTATGAGTAGTTGCCTTGCCTTCTTCCGGGATGCTTTTGCCTTCCCTGTCCCGTTTATAAAAGGGTTGGGCTACGCAAAGCCACTAGAGGGCACAAAGATTCAGAGGCTTGGTAGCTCTTTGCTGGCCCCTAGTGGCCATTTGGACTTTTGCTGCCCCAATCTGATAAATCTACTAGGCAAACGGTACACATAAGGGTCTTATGGCAGCGACCTCAAGATCAACCATTTCTTAAGTCTAGCCTCCTTTTCAATAATGGCGCCACTTCGTGTCGAATTGCAGCCTGGGAATTGTAGTTCCTTTCCCACGGCTGCTGCCCCGCGACCCGCGTTCCGGCGGCGTTCTTGTTGCCCTGGATACGGGCGAGCGTCGCCGTCTGGAGCGTTCGTGAGAGAAGAGAAAATAAATACGTTAAAGTGCAATGAAAAGTACGATCAACACAATACCACAGTTATACACCAGACATCAGAAATCATCTAATAAAAACAATTATTAAAGCAATTCAAAAGGCCGACTAAGCTTTTCGACCCGGTTGATTTCCACATACGTGAACTTCAACTCCCAGAATTCCCCAGCCAGCACGACCATTGCAGAGAATTCTGGAAGTTGAAGTACAAGTGCCTGGAGCTTACCAGACTTAATCATTATTATTAACTTGCCTAAGTTGTTAAGAACAAGAACAATGTTATTATATTTTTTAGCCTGCCTTTTTATATATATATAACTCAAGGCGGAGAAAATACCTAATACTCCTGCCTCCTATTTTTCCCAGAACAACAACCCTGTGAGGTGGGTTAAGTTGGCTTGGTAGCCATGTCAGCTGGGTATGGCTACTGAAACATGCAATCCAAGGCACTAAGAAATAATAACATATTTATTTCTAGATGTCTGGGAAGGATATTTCGAAAACAATCGTCATGTTTCAAGGTTGTCAAGTTCCACCACACTTAACTATGTTAAGTTGTTGGTTAAACATACTAAATGGGAAGAGGCTGAGGTCGCACTTTCCTCAGCAGCAATGCACTCTCCCCTCCATGCATTTACGCTGTCAAGCTGCACATCACAGATGTGTGCCCTGCGAACCTGCAGCTTAATATTTCCCCTGATTACACGCCCGTTTTCGCAGTAAATGCCAGATCCGACACACTGGACACGGTCTGCGGTCCGCAGGATTTTGTAATACCCGCTGGGATTTCAAAAAGAAACCAAACCCTTACAATATATGCAAAAGTTTATAAAAGAGAGCTCAACTTTTTATTCTTTTCAGCAGGATTTACTATAAAGAGTAGGCAGGTAGCATTTTTTTTAATACTTTTTGCACACCTAAAGAATTCTATTTTCTAAAGTAGATGAACAATACGCCGAGGGCCAGTTTGGTGTAGTGGTTAAGGCACCAGGCTAGAAACCGGCATGAGTTCTAGTCCCACCTGGACTACAAAGCCAGCTGGGTGATCCTGGGCCAGTCCCTCTCTCTCGGCCCTAGGAAGCAGGCAATGGCAACCCACTTCTGAAAATCTTGCCAAGAAAACTGGAGGAGCTAGTCCAGGCACTTGCTGAGAGTCAAGGCAAAGAAGGGGGGGGGGAATCACCCCCACAAATAAGCAAAAAATAGGAAGCAAAAGTATGTTCTGCCAACTTGTATTATCTATCAGCATTGTAAAGTGGTAACACCTTTAATGTGTGCAACATACCTATTTTTTCCTCTTATTATATCATATAAATCGATATGTATGTAGGTTTGAGGGAGTTTGAGTGAATTTGGTGACACACATTTGGTGACCAGAAGGATATAAATAATGACTTTCAACAGTCAGAACAAGGAGATTGAGCAAAAAGTGTGGCCATTTATTCATGTGCGGTTTCAGACTATCCTTTAAAATAGAGGCAGAATTAAATCACAATTCCTTAAGCTAAAAATCCCATAAAATACATCAGTACATTTCAGTAGTTGCATTTACAAAATCCAAGCAAATATAAAAGTTTATCCTTTTATTAGTTTCAAAAGGAAATCAATATTTATCAGGGATCTAGCAAAATAACTTTCACCATATCAAGAACAGTGGATTTATTTTGACTTAAGAGATTGTTTTCTGGGTAGCAAACATTTATGTGGTTTGGGACCGCTTTAAATAATTGGCCATATCTTACTGCAGAAAGTAAAAAATGTACTTGTGCTGAATAATACAGTACACATTTCCCCATGCAATGAGAGCAAACACTGATAAGAAATTGAGAATATGTTCATGTGCTACCTGAAAGTATGAATGATTTTATAAATATATAAAATCTCATTTGCTATGTATGCCAGTTTTGATTTCAAATTTCAACATTTTCAACCTCCCAATATCTCTTATGCAATAGTACCACTGAGCTTAATGGGGCATAGTCCAAATAAAATTGGATGAGTTCTTGAAATACAAATCCAAGAATGCCTGAGCTTTCTCTTCTCTTGCTCGAGCAATGAGAAATTAAATGAGAATTCATTCAAATTATGAATTTAATTTCTTAGTTCTAAGCACACTTCCCTGTTTGAAATCAGACTATCTATCTATCTATCTATCTATCTATCTATCTATCTATCTAATTTGTATGCCGCCCATCTCCCCCAACGTTTTCTTATATTTTGGGGTCCTCAGGCAGAGCTTCGATCACACCATAGCAATTGCACCTGCAGACACTCCTGTGTGCCTTGGGGCACAATAGTGTAAGGCACTCTTTTGCTACCCAAGTTTTTTTTAAAGAGCCAGATAAAAAACTTGAGACGAGACTTTTTTGAAAGTAAACAGATATATTTTGGCCAAGACACACCTGGGTGAACCCAATCAACATCGTGGCAATGAATGTTGATTGAAAACCACACCTTGCAAAGCAAACATCAGAAATTTGTAGACATTTACAAATATAATCAGATAGTACATCCCCTCATACCCATACAAGGAAATGCAGGGATGGTCTAAGGAGGAGGGAAAAGGTGGATCCCAGAAAGAGAAAGTCAGCTCAACTCTCTTCTCCTGTTAACAAGGAAATACCAAAGGTTAGCACGTCCTTATCTCTTGTGGAATTCGGGGCCTCTCTCTTTGCAACTTTTACCAAGCTAACTGTTTATTCAATTGAAGACAATCAGGCATTCAACAAAGAGATAAGGTGGGGGGAGAAAACACTGTTCTCTTTAGAAGGCAAAAGCAAGTTAACCCTTTATAAGATAGAATGCCCTGTTACATGTATGTTTATACATTATGTGAAATATAGAGTATAAAATTGTGTATTAAAATAATGCCCTTCAATAGGATCTCTGAACTATATAAAATGATAATATTCAGATGTACTTCTGTGAAAAAAACTTTTACAGGAAACTTATTGGCGAAAAAAGAAGGCAAACTCAGACGTACAATGGATTTTGCAGATTTTTATTTATAAATCTTTTATGAAATGGGTAAGTACAGAAAGGTTCCCCACCCCCAAAGAAAATTTGCTTATTCTCAAATATTTTTCCTTAATATATATATAGTTTAAACAATACTCCCAAATCCAGATCCAATTCCAGAGGTATCTGCAGGAAAGGGGTTAAAAAATCAAGATGGTCACAACCACGTGAACAAAGCCCCATCCTTATGGGTGTCGTATGTATAACGCCATCTAAAAGGAGCAGAATTTTGATTGTGAGGTCACGGACAGTATCTTTATTTTTTCACTCCCCCTCCAGATACCCCTGCCCAATCGTTTAGTTTTTAACTGGCATATCTACATTGAGAACTAGTATAACATTTTGCATGACGATGATGCTGTGCAGTTGAGACTCCACTTTACACACTTACTCATTAGTGCTGACATATGTAATGTTTTATTGCAAGGAATGAAATGTCATTTTGTTCCAAATAAATAATCAGCAATTTCCAGGGTAGCATGAGCAAGTATTGGAGATATTCCTGAGTATCCACCCTTTGGATTGATTCATGATTGTTAAAGGGAGCGCTTCAAGATTGAAATCAGTTAGGCACACAGTAGCATTGCTGCAAAAAGGGTCAAAGGCAGAATGGAATTGGGCATAACAAAGACAGCCTATCTATAGTTAAAAAAAAAAAAGTCATCCCTGAATCCCTCTTATTGTACAATTTCTGCTCTCCAATACAGTAGATCAGGGTTTCTCAACTTTAGCAACTTTAAGACATGTGGACTTCAACTCCCAGAATTCCCCCGCCA